TCATTCTAAAAGATTTATAAGGAACTGCCAGGACTAAATAATAAATTGTAATGCTACTTAACAAGTAATCAGTTTGAACATTTCCAGAAGGTTAGGAGTCATGGATTCATCAGGTGTCCGGATGTGGAACAATGCCAGGTTTCTGAAATTGGTTTGTGCAGGGTACAATTAATACATCCAATAATTCAGTAATCTATGACAGTTACTGTAGTCAAGTCAGAAAAAGATTAAAACAAATACAGTATACTACTATGGGTTGCTGCTCTTGGCCTACATTCACTCCACCCTGTACTACCTTTTAAAGAATACAATTTTAGATCTGTCCAGCCACAGGCTAAACAATATATCCTGCACGCTTCTTTCTCAGGTATTTGAGAACAGGTCTTTGAAGTCCTTTGCCGTTCTACAGTCTCAATTTGCTTTTCCTCCCTTTATACTATTACTACCAATTGCAACATGCTATTCAAGCCCAGGGTGAAACAACTGTTTGGTTGCAGTCTCCTACTCCAATTTTTATAATGATGCAAAACACTACTTCTATCAAGGGTTTTATTTCTCAATGCTTTGCTATGTTGCTGCTTAATATTCTTGCTGGGTACCCTATAAAAGTAGATGCACTCTGAACCAAGGATGTAGGCACCTTTGAAGAGAAGCAGTGGGAGGAGGCCTTGCAGGCTGTTCAGGAGAGTTCCCTAAATGCGAAGCAGAAGCGGATGCAATTTTATATTCTCCTTAGAGTGTATTATACTCCTTCTAAACAATTTCAAATGGTTTGTATGCTTTATATTTTTTTCATTGTTTTACTTTTCTTATTATTTTTTTATTTTTTATTTTATTTAATATTATTATTATTTTTATTTATTTATTTTAATTTGTTTTATATATTTTTTTTTTTTTCATTGTTTTACTTTTCTTATTATTTTTTATTTTCTATTTTTTATATATTTTTTTTTTTATATTTGCTTTATATTTTTTTCATTGTTTTACTTTTCTTATTTTTTTTTTTTTTTTTTTTTTTTAATTTAAAATACATTTTTATTTTTATTCTTTCATTATTTCGCAGAGAGTATTAAAGATAATTGGAATATATGGTGATTTGTATTTATATTTATGAGGAATTTTGTTTCATTGTTTTAATTGCGGATTCGCAGAGAGTATTAAAGATAATTGGAATATATGGTGATTTGTATTTATATTTATGAGGAATTTTGTTTCATTGTTTTAATTGCGGATCATTGTCTTGTATTTAAGTTGTGAAGGGTTCTCACGCTGAGTATATAGAGGATGAGGTAAGATCAGAGGGTGGGTACTTTGTATGGTAATTATAATGGTTTAATGATCAGGTGTGGTAGTGGGAGGTAGTTTCTATTAATTTGCATAGGAGATGGATGAGAGCTCTCCCTAACGGTAAAAGATGGCCAGATACTGAAGGTGGTGTCTTGAAAACGCCCTGTGGGTGGGGTGAAATGCATTGATGCACTTCTGGTCTGCCGTCTTCTTGGCCTACGTCACTTCCGGTATTTGGAACGCACGCCGACTTTTGCGGTTAAAGCAGCCATTTTTGAGGTGGAAAGCTGGTCATCCTCTACAGTGATCCTTAAAGCGTGAGATCCCTATATTTACAATTTGGAAACTTGTTCCTTTGAAGCCTTTGAGGCTATTAAACAAGGCCTGTTATTTTATTGAAACATGTGAGTGTCCTTATTCTATCGATTTTATATGGTATTGAGTGGCAGTATTACACTATGTAGCCTTTCTTTCCTTGCACACTATTGAGGATTCCATGGAGAAGAAGAGTGGAGTTGATTGTTGTATCTAAGCAGGGTGAAGGCAATTTGAGTTCCTCCTGAGGGGCTATAGGATCCCTTCTATCCTATGAGGCTTATTACTCACCTCCATCTGGTGAGTGCGGTCAATATTATTTTTCACGTGGTGATTAGGTGGAAGCACATTTTGGAACATTGTTTTGAAAATCCTTTTGGGAAAATAAGGACTTATGTTTGAAATATTATATATATATTTTTGCACGGACATTTATTTATTTGTGTTTATTTTTATGTATTTAATTTTTGCGCTGTTTTTTTGTGTTATTTATTATTGGTGGTTGTCACTGGTGCACAGCTGCATAATTGTATACTTTCTTTGATTGGCGCTGGGATTTGTTTAGTTAATTTCAAATGGTTATTCTACAGAACCCCTTTGTACTAAATGCAGTAGAGACCCTGCAGACCTCGTCCAATTATTATGGTGATGCCTGAAACGTCACCTGTATCGGTCAGAGTTTATTCATTTACTTAATAGTGTGTTCCAGGTGTCCATCCAAAACGATCCCAAGCATTGTGTCTTGGGGATCTTGGACAATTGCAGAAGTTTTTCAAGAAGGCCATCCTTGCTCACTGGGAATTCAATAACATACCCACATACATCTATCAAAATAGGGGTTGCCCCAACATGTTTGAAACGATATGGGCCCCGTGGTTGGATACCCCAGGTCTCAGTCTATTAGATTTATGCAGGCCATAGACGGACCGTTCATCAGCCGAATTTTCAGCCGATAAACGAAAAATCGGTCGGCCCCGTTGCCGATGCTGCCACCAATGTCCGCGAAAAACGGACAGCATGACCAATAAAATTAAACAAGAAGTTCCGCGAAAAACGGCCAACGTGCTAGCCCCACTAAAGGCGTGAATATCGGCCGATTTTACGTGCGGATGAACAATCGGCCAATAAACGACCCATCTATGGCCTGCATTAGTCTAGGCTCTTCTAGTTTACTTTATTGTAGCCCACTCGTATTGTTTGGTGAAGGGTAAGTAAAGTATTTATTTCCTTTAAGTTGATTATTGTCCTCCTATGTGGAACAGTGTTAGTATTTTGGTTATTTTTTTAGTGTTTTGGTTATTTTACTTGTGGTATGTGCAGTGTCAATGCTCTTTACACCTTCTTATACCTGATGACATAATGTTAACGCACTTGAATATGGTATGTCCTGCAAATGTACTATTTTGCTTTCTATGCCTTTTTGGTTTGTTGACAATAAACACCTTTTTGATTTTAAAGAAACGCAATATATCCTGCCATCTAGCACAAAAATCAGGATAGGAAAAAGTGTGTGTCATTATAACTGGCAACGACATTCAGTTTACAAAATATCAAGCTAATAAAATCTACATACTGACTTTGGCGTCAAAAAAACACAACCACTGTTGTTATCATAAATGATGAAAAACAACTTTGGTTTTGTTTTTTTTTTACCTAAAAAATACAAATTAGCTATAACTTTATCACCACTGACAGGTTAAGTGAATAATAATGATTATCTCAATAAAATGACATCTGAAAGTTGGTGTGATATATTAAGCAGCCTGTAAACATGTTGTCCCTGAAGTTGATGTATTGAAAGCAGAAAAAATGGGCATAGTTTGTTGTGTATGGGGCTGCATAGTTGCAGACTGTTTAGAGTGCCCATGCTGACCACAGCCAAAAGCTCATACAATGGGCATGTGAGCATCAGAACTGGATCACAGAGCAATGGAAGAAGGTGGCCTCTTCTGCTGAATCATGTTTTCTTCTACATTATATGAATGGCAAGGTATGTGTGCACCGCTTACCTGGGGAAAAGATAGTACAAGGATGCAGTATGGAGAAAGCAAGCCAGTGCAAGCAATGCCTTTGGCAGTTTTCTGCTGGGAAACCTTGGTCCTGCCATTCATGTGAATGTTACTTTAACATGTACTAACCTACCTAAATATTGTTGCTGACCAAGTACACCCCTTCATGCAAACGGTATTCCCTGATGGAAGTATCTTCTTTCAGCAGGAAAATGCGCCCTGCGATACTGCAAAAATGGTTCAAAAATGGCTTGAGAAGCACAACAAGTTGAAGGTGTTGACTTGGCTTAAAAAAAAATCTCCAGATCTCAATCTAATCAATCACTCGTGGGATATGCTGGAAAAACAAGTCCATACCACGGAGGCTCCACATCAAAACTTACAGGATTTAAAGGATCTGTTACTGACGGCTTGGTGCCAGATAGCACAACATACCTTGATGGGTCAGAGCTGTTTTGGTAGCAAAAGGGGCTGTTTTGGCTGCAAAAAGAGGACCTACTCAATATTAGGTGGGTGTGTGCACTTTAAATACATCTTTGGGTGTTTTTGACTGATCCATTATTAGAAGAGAGCAAAAAACAACCAACCATACGATTTCCAGGCTGACAAGTCACTTCTAGTACATACAACGCCAGGCAGATGACAATCTGTTATTAATGAGTATAGACTCTAAAAAGTACTAGCTTTTACAAAGTACAGAAACTCTCCTGATTATCAATTTTCAGTCAACATTTCTGATACACTGACAGATCCTTACAAACACTGTTGAAGAATACTACAATTTTCTCACTTCAGTACAAATACTACAATTTTCTCACTTCAGTACAAGGACCTGAACCTTTGATATAGAAGCTCATGTTTGAGGACACTATTCTTTGTACAGTAGAATTTGTACCACAAACAAAAACAAATATCAGATATGTAAGGCTCCATTCACATCTGAACATAGCATTTTTTCACACGTTTTTATGCGCGTTTGCAAACATTTGTGCGCAACTTGTTCAGGCGTTTTTGGGCTTTTTGAGTTCTGGCGTTTTTGTATTAGCCAATACAGAAAAATTTAATCTGTGACATCAATTGTTTGCATGTTTTGCCATGCCAGAAAAAACACTCTTGGTTGAGCGACAAAACACACAAAAGAACATGAAAATGTGCGATTTGTGCATTTCCATGTATTTCTATAGGTCTGAAAATGCGCCAAAAAACACAGCAATCTGCCTGAATGGAGCTACAAAAATAGCTCCAAAACTTTTTGTCAGACATTTTGCTTCAGGCGACTTGGAATGGAGATGAGGAACCATCTCCATAGAGTAATATTGATTTTTTTTCTCCCTGAATATTTTGGAGCTTCAAGCTTAGCACTACATAATGATCAGGTGTGAATGGGGCCTAAGGATCATCATCAATGAACAGCTGTAGTAAAAATACACAAATGCTAAACATATATAGTAAATAAAATATGTACTTTGACATGTGAACAAGTAGCCTCATTGCTTGAACAGACACTTCCTGATCTTTGTCCAAAGTCATTGATACAACGCGATCCTAGGAAACAAAAATAGACAGACTAAATATATATATATATAGGAATTATTTAATCAAGCAGTGCAAAAAATATATAAGCTAACAGTGCTGGTAGAGAACAAGCAAGGTATGCTCTGGTGCCGTTTCCCTTTATGAGCAAATAGCTATGGTAAGGACAAGGTGAACAAAAAGCAGGGTAAATACAGAAAAAAATATAATGGGGTTGATTTACCAAAACTGAAGAGTGCAAAATCTGATTGAGCTGTGAATGGCTGCCAATCAGCTTCTAACTTCAGCTTGTTCAGTTAGGCTTTGACAAAAAAAAAAAAACTTAAGCTGACTGGTTTCTATACTGAGCTGAACCAGATTTTTCACTCCCCAGTTTTAGTAAATGAACCCTAAAGTTTGCCTGTTCTTTGCAGTGATGAAGGGTTAGAACCTCTGTCAGTTTTTTCAATGCTGAGAGATTTACCCTCAGTTCTTGCAAAAGTAACCGGGGATCAAAGGAACAGGACATGATGGGAAATCTCTTGAGACAGCATCAGACACAATTGGCATTAGAACAGTTGTGAAGATTCAAAGCATCTAAGAAGTTTTAATGCTGTCTGGGCCTTCCTATCCAAAAGACCACCTTTCCTCCTATTTCTTGTCCTGGTCACAAATAAAAGTGGGAGGAAATCTTCCCAACAAAGTCACAAACTGAAATAAAGTATCTTGTGCAGTAAAATTTTGAATTGTCATGTGTACATTGTGGAATGCCAGGCAAAATTATTATTTCTAGTTTTGAATAGCCTAGGAAAGGTGTTAGGATTTTATGGCTGTCTTTATCTCCATTACAGAGATTTCCCCTCACTTCCTTTTCTGGAGTCACAGAAGGAAGTGAGAGGCCGTGTCCCCAAAGGGAGAGAAGTCCCACATTTGGCAGTTATAAAAACAGCTGTCCCATTTGGCAGATCTCCCACTCTACTCCTTTTCTGGTGGCAGATGTAAACTTTTGAATTTCCATTCACTTTCTGTTCCAGGGACAATGATCATCAATACTGAAATCAGAGTGAATCTCCTAAATGGGAACCCAAAGAGCAAGAAAAGCAATGCAGAATTTGTAATTCCCTAAAAATTCTACCCAAACTTGGGGAATAAAAAAAGTTCTAGCCATATACTACTTTAAACAAAACATAAATGATTTACCTTAAACCTTGCAGTGAAAAGATCCATTTTGGAAACAAGATCTTTTTTCTCATAAAGTCCCTGCAGAGCAATAAGACTTTTCAAGCGTACATCTGGAATCTAAATGGTAACATAAAAAGAAAAATAAAGAGAAGGAAAATCTAATGTGATACAGCACAAGTAAACATGAATCATTTATGTGACATATGACATAGAAAACAGAATAAATGTAAATGAAAAAGGTATAGCCCCCCATACTTGCTTTCTATGTAACATGAGCAGCATGTTATGCAAACTCTAATCCACGTCACCCATAAATGCTACAGTTACCCACCTCTGGCGTAATGCATTTCTACCAATTTGAACTCATCAGCCATACACCAATGTAGGTTGCAAAAACAATAATTTGTGGAGATCCGCTTTAATATATGTACTTAAATGCAAGCACTGCCAGTACCTGGATTTCACCTGGTATTGGTCCCCTGCAGTCCCTGTATAATATAGCTGGATTGTGAGCAGAAGGAGCCAATCAATTTATGCTGCTGGTTTATTGAGGCTTTTAGGATGACAAAGCAGAATGACAGAGAGATAAGCTCAACACTATGTGGTTAATTTACAAAAACTAGAGAGTGCAAAATCTGGTGCAGCTCTGCATGGTAACCAATCAGTTTCTAACTTCAGTTTGTTGAATTAAGCTTTGACAAAAAAAATGGAAAGCTGATTGGTTTCTATGCAGAGCTGCACCAGATTTTGCACTCTCCAGTTGTAGTAAACCAACCACTGTGCTGCTCTCCTTTCACTATCCAGTCACACAGTGGGATGAATCAAGGATGACCTGGGCTCAGACAAAGTGGGTTGATTGCTGATGCTGATCAAACTAAGGGCGTCTCATGGCAGAAAAAAAGTGCTCCTGGGAATACTCTGGTTTAAAAAGGTGAAAACTGCAGCAAAATCTGGTTTTGTCTTTATGTTTTAATGGGCTATTCATATTTACTGAAGAAGATAGAGGTGGATGACCACACACCCAATAAAAAAAATCCAATTTCTGTATTTCAACCATTTAAAATCTTGACAGCAGCAAAACAAACAGGGAACACGTATGATGTGTTTCATGTCACAGAGGCGTAATCATAACTTTAGGTTACGATTAAGCCTCTGTGAGGTGAAACACAACAACCGTGTTCCCTGTGAGTTTTGCTGCTGTCAAGATTTTAAATTGTTGAAATAAAGAAATTGTATTTTTATCAGGTGTGTGGTCATCCACCTCTATCTTCTTCAGTGTTCTTGGAATGAGCCAGCCATGCACCCCTATTTCTAAGGGCACTATTGTACTGGACAGACCTGGAGCAGTGCATTTGTTTCTTGATCTATTCATATTTACAGCATCTTGTTATTTTTAATAGAAATCTGCTAAAAGTGTTATTGCAGCTTGAAGTATTAAGGAATAAATCTATTCAAACATGGTATATTACTTATAGGTAGATGCTGGGGTGTTCAAAATAATCCTATGAAAAAAAGTTTGGCCACTCAAGTCCTAGTAAGAAAGAGTTGTATGCATATATTGTGACCTGCTGAAATTCATTCAGCCCTGAAAATAATATATTTAGGTCTACCAATACCCATCAGTTTAATGATTTTCACCCTTACCTTATCATACAGCATCCACCCAACATACTTCAAGTAACTATCATTCAGGTAGGTTGGAGGGTACATTTTCATCCATATTCCCAGTTCTTCTATGCACATAGCTCTAATATCCGGAACCACGTCTCTAACAACAAAACCATCAGTTTATAATATATTGCCTTTTTTTACCTTAATTCAGAAGCTCAACAGCATACATACTAAGTTATCATGACTACATCATAAACCAAGAAGTCAGAGATAAATGTCATTTAAACTGATTCTGATTGAGGGTGTTGTCAAAATGGACATAACATTAAAGAGGTAGTAAAGTCCACTTTGTGATGTTTACCTACAGGTAAGCTTATAATAAAGTTTACCTGTAGGTAAAATGAATATCTCCTAAATGTGCACTGTTTAGGAGATATTAACTCTTTTTGACAGCCGGCGCATGCACTCTGAAGGAACGACCTACCCGTGCCATTCCCTCAGAGCACTGTGCCGTGGCCCGTGACTCCCGTGCACATGCTCGGAAGTGACGTCATTGTGGCTCAGCCATTCAAGTTGCTGCAGCCTGCAAGCTCAGAAGGAAGACCAGGTGAAGATGTAAGCCCTGTTAGCGGTGACAGCACACCGCTGGAGGGCTTCATTCCAAGGTATGTATTTCATAATGTGCTAGTATGAGATGCATACTAGTACATTATGCAATTGCCTTGCAGGGGTTTTTTTGTTTGTTTTTTTTAAAGCCATGGTTTACTGCCGCTTTAAGTTCACATGATCATTTTAAACAAAAAAAAAAAACTAACAATCTGGAATGTACCGAATTGCTCTTTCAAAAAAGATATTTTGGCTTATAAAAAAAATGTTCATATTATTATAACTGCTACATACAAACATATATGCAAGCATCAGTGGATTAGAGTCCGAGACTGAACACACTGATGGTGCATTGGTGTAAGAGGTGCAGGCAACCAGCACAGCTTGTGACTATTGAGCACAGCCTACTTCAGTTTGTTTTTATATATTTTTTTTCATTTTAACACAGCAAAAAGAATAAAAACAGAAGTAGTTTTAACTATACATTTAATGAAATGCAGGTTTCCCAAAACATTGTGCTTGGTGACTTTGCTCATAGCTATAAACATCTTCCTATGAAACAGTGAGCAGCCACTTGCTTTTCCTACCGCTTTGCAAAGCAGTTCCCTAATTTTAGGGTTGTAATTACTCCAAATCTAGTTTATACATTTACATAAAACTTTAACTGGCCCATATCCTGCATTAATATGTTTGAAAAATAAGAGCAAAACATGTGCTGCTCACTTACCGATAACGTTGCAAAACAGTTCCTTTAAATAATGCATCCATCATGTCTTCAACTTCTTGATGCTTTTGTTGCAACTAGGAAATAAAGACCAACACATTCTGAAGAAAGAGAAAAGGGAGAAAAACAGGGGAGGAGAAGGGAAGAAGAAAGAAAGAATGGTTCCTCCAAGATGTAAAAAAAATCACAAGATTTTTATATAAAGATATACAGCGAGAGGAATACAGTATACAATTAATAACTAAGCACAAAATTAGGTCACATGGGAGCCAACCTTCTTCCTTTTCTTGTCCAGTTGTTCAAGTGTTGGGTTGGTCCTCCTCAAAGACACACGTTTCTTCTCCACACATGTACAGCCTCTCAGAATTATCTTTACTAATATCCAGATTTAGAATAACTTTTATCAGTGCAGTCAGCAACTTAACAGCTGAATTAGAAAAAATGAAGCTTAATCACTACAAAACGAATAGTGAAGTATTTCATTATCACCTGAAGAAAACCATGAACCTCAAAAATGAAAAAAAAAAGCTATAAATACATGAAAAAGAAAACACTATACATGATAATAGGTTTCAAGCAGGAAAAGAGGCAAAATTTTATACCATAAATCTTTCTTCATATACTGAATATATAGTGTATGTATATATATTTTCTGTGTGTGTATGTATGTATGTATGTATGTATGTATATATGTATATACATACACACACACACACACACACATATATATATATATATACCGTATTTGCCGGCGTATAAGACGACTGGGCGTATAAGACGACCCCCCTACTTTTCCTGCTAAAATGTAGTGTTTGGGGGCTATACTCGCTATAAGACTGTATAAGACTACACCCTCTTCCAACACACCAGTGGGAGGAATAGTGCCCCATCATTGATGTCAGTGGGAGGAATAGTGCCCCATCATTGGTATCAGTGGGAGGAATAGTGCCCCATCATTGGTATTAGTGGCAGGAATAGTGCCCCATCATTGGCATTAGTGGCAGAAATAGTGCCCTAACATTAGTATCAGTGGAGGAATATTGCTCCATCATTGGTGTCAGTGGGAGGAAATAGTGCCCCATCATTGGTATCAGTGGCAGGAATAGTGCCCCATCATTGGTATCAGTGGCAGGAATAGTGCCCCATCATTGGTGTCAGTGGGAGGGAATAGTGCCCCATCATTGGTGTCAGTGGGGAATGGTGTCCCATCATTGGTGTCAGTGAGGGGTGGAATAGTGCCCCATTTGGAATCCAGTGGGGGGTGGAATAGTGCCCCATCGTTGGTGTCAGTGGGAGGAATAGTGCCCCATCGTTGGTATCAGTGGGAGGAATAGTGCCCCATCATTGGTATCAGTGACACCAATGATTGGGCACTATTCCTCCCACTGAGACTTGCTGACCCTGTTCTCGTATGGTGCTGCTGCTGCAGTATGTGGTTGCAGCAGCACCTCTACACACAGAACACTTACCTGCTGCTCCGGCAAAATTTTCGCGGGGGCCGCTCGGCTCCGCCCCCCTCGCCGGTGCTTGGCCGCCTGTGTGCCTTTCCTGAGCTACAGTTTGGCGGCCAATCACCGTGAGGAGGCGGAGCCGAACAGCCGCACGAACATCCAGTGGCCATTGAACTGAAAGACGCGCCGCGCTTCCTGGACCCGGATCGTCGTGGGACTGGAAGAACATGTGTACCGGCGTTACATACACACACACACTGAATATATAGTGTATGTATATGCAGTGCTCAGCATAAATGTAAATATTGCACCCCAACAGATTTGTCAGAAAACCTTTACTTTCCTTTCAGAATCCACATTTTCTAAGTAATTTTCCTAACAAATTCATTCAAGACCATGTTGCAAAAATGAATACACCCCAATGAAAGTCTTAGGAGCAAAGCTAAATTTTAGACAACAAAATCCTAATTTACAAGAATTCAACTACAGGTCTAATTATTCATTAAACAGGTGTCCAGCAGACAGCTGATTATAAAAGAGCGCTACGTAACAAAAAAAACTCCTTCCCATTTCATGCTGTTAGCAATGGCACCACATGGAAGAGAAACGTCAAAGGCCTGAGAAAAAAAATAATTTCTTTGCACAAGAAAGGTGAAGGCTACTTATCAATCAGAATACTGTAGGAAAAGTGATACAAAAGATTTTACAAAGATGGAACTGCAACCATCTCACAGAGACATCCAGGTCGTCCACGAAAGTTAACACCTCGACAGGAGCATCTTCTGATGAGAAGGGTTGAAGAAAATCACCATGCATGTTCACTGCAGTTAGCTAAAGAAGTAGAAAGCCACACTGGGGTGATTGTTTCCTGTGATACAATAGGATGTACCAGGGGCAGACTGACCATTCGAGCACTCGGGCACTGCCCGAGGGCCCAGGGTCAGTAGGTGGCCCCATGAAATGCCCCTGATACCTTTTATAGACTTTTTTGGGTGTGCTTTGAGTGTGGGCAAGGACACAGGGGCCCCATGATCCCCTATTGCCCGGGGGCCCCATGAGTTGTCAGTCCGCCCCTGGTATGTACACTGCAGAAAAATGACATGCATGGGTGTCGTCCACGAAGGAAGCCTCTCCTACAGCCCATGCACAAAAAGCCCACCTAGAATTTTTTCAGGGCCCGTGCTGAAAAAGAAGACGACCACTTGGACTCTGTACTCTGGAGTGATGAGACCAAGATAAATGTTTTTGGAACTGATGGCTTCAAAACTGTTTGGCGTTGCAAAAGTGAGGAGTACAAAGAAAAATCCATGGTGCCTGCAGTGAAACATGGTGGTGGCAGTGTCCTTCTGTGGGGCTGCATGCATGCTGCTGGTGTCAGGGAGCTGCATTTCATTGATGGTATCATGAATTCACAGATGTACTGCTCTATATTGAAAGAGAAGATGCTACCATCACTCTGTGCCCTCGATCGTCCTGCACTTTTCCAACATGACAATGATACAAAACACACATCTAAGGCCACTGTTGCATTTCTGAAGAAGAACAGGGTGAAAGTGATTCATTTGCCAAGTATGTCTCCTGATCTGAACCCAACTGAACACCTATGGGGAATTCTGAAGAGACAAGTTGAGTATCTCTCCATCCAGCATCCAGGCTCTAAAAGAGGTAGTTCTTAAAGAATCAAAAAAGATAGATGCTGCAATATGTCGCCAACTTGTTCATTCCATGCCTAGAAGACTTGGTGCTGTCCTTACAAATCATGGAGGTCATACAAAACACTAGATGTAATAGTTTTTGTTGTGGGGTGTATTCATTTTTCCATCAACTAATTTGAGTAAAACTGAAGATTTTATAATCCAAGCTATATTATTAACCTTACTTTCATGCAAATGTTCTATAAAACTCAATTTTGTCAAAATTCTGGAAATTGTTCTTGTGTTCACTGAGATATTGATAAAAATCTTACTTTTCAAAAGGGGTGTACTCATTTATGCTGAGCACTGTATTATTTATATATATATATATATATATATATATATATATATATATACATACATACATATACATACATACACACACATCTCAGGGAGCCACGCACTGATAAGGATTGGGATTACGTCAACAACCAGCCTACAGGGCTCCAAACACCACTGCATACACAGTTCAATTTCCAACAGGGATCAGGAGCAACTCTCTAATTTAAAGGATAATTCTTTATTCCAGTAGTATCCCGTTACATAACACAATGAACCATTAAGTCTGAAAGACAGTTTCAGGTGTCCCTGCCCTTCCTCATGTTCATCTGAGCTCGAAAGGGCAGAAATGCCCGCAAATGTCTGTAAACATCTGTGGATGATAATTCTGTATGTTTTTTGTGTATGGATGTTTTTGTTTTCCATATCTAACTTAGGTGCATCTAGAAGATTTCCATGCACTAGCACGCACTTCTATATCTGCCTAAGAGGGGGACCGCCATGATCTAGGTGATAGATCACTGGCAGTCAAATGGTCATATACCTTTTCTTCTACAATACATGATCAACAGTTACCATAACCACATTCCCACAACTAAGCATGGCTTAAACCAGGGTTTAAAATTTTGAATCCAGACTTACTAGCCAGTCACAAAACTTACTCTCCACCAGTTGCCTCTCCCAACCTTGCCCAGGTCCGCCCCCAATCCCACCCCCGGCCCAGCCCAAACCTCACCCCCGGCCTGCCCCCAATCACGCCCCCTTAAAGCTTATGAAATTACATTTTTCTTTAGAATAGTCCAAAAATATCCCAGCTCCCCTGTACTCCATTATAGTGATATGACAAACTGTAATGTGTACACTCATTATATTGTAATGTATATCCCAGCTCCCCTGTACTCCATTATAGTGATATGACATGTATACAGTAATGTATATCCCAGCTCCCCTGTACTCCATTATATTGATATGACATGTACACAGTAATGTATATCCCAGCTCCCCTGTACTCCATTATATTGATATGACATGTACACAGTAATGTATATCCCAGCTCCCTGTACTCCATTATAGTGATATGACGTGTATACAGTAATGTATATCCCAGCTCCCCTGTACTCCATTATAGTGATATGACCCAGTAATGTATATCCCCCCTCCCCTGTACTCCATTATAGTGATATGACATGTATACAGTAATGTATATCCCAGCTCCCTGTACTCCATTATATGATATGACATGTACACAGTAATGTATATCCCAGCTCCTGTACTCCATTATAGTGATATGACGTGTACACAGTAATGTATATCCCAGCTCCCTGTACTCCATTATAGTGATATGACGTGTATACAGTAATGTATATCCCAGCTCCCCTGTACTCCATTATAGTGATATGACGTGTATACAGTAATGTATATCCCAGCTCCCCTGTACTCCATTATAGTGATATGACGTGTACACAGTAATGTATATCCCAGCTCCCCTGTACTCCATTATAGTGATATGACGTGTACACAGTAATGTATATCCCACCTCCCCTGTACTCCATTATAGTGATATGACATGTATACAGTAATGTATATCCCCCCTCCCCTGTACTCCATTATAGTGATATGACGTGTACACAGTAATGTATATCCCAGCTCCCCTGTACTCCATTATAGTGATATGACGTGTATACAGTAATGTATACCCCAGCTCCCCTGTACTCCATTATAGTGATATGACATGTATACATAATGTATATCCCAGCTCCCCTGTACTCCTGTATACACTGTATATCCCAGCTCCCCTGAGTCTCCATTATATTGATATGCGTATACAGTAATGTATATCCCAGCTCACCTGTACTCCATTATAGTGATATGACATGTTGTATACAGTACTATACTGTCCCCCCGAGTCCCCTGCGGTGGTGGAGAGGGTGTCTCCTCTAAGCGGAGGAGAGTGGACCTCTCCTGCACCTGTCCCCTCTTCTGTGCCGCAGAAGCCGGAAACCGGAAGTTGTAAACCGGAACTCGGCTTCACAATGAGGCTTGGAGTGCAGGTGCAGTCGCTCCATGCTTCATCTGTGCTCACCGCTCGCAGCCGCTCGCCACAGAGGAATTTCTCCTCGCATTTGGTGAGCGGGCGAGCGGCTTTTTCAAGCCCTGGCTTAAACAATACCAATTTCTCATGCAGCTACATAACTCAAGTTAGCTGTTGTACAAGCCGTAACTTGCAAATAAGAGACAAAGAAAGTTGTGTAGTGAACACCCACCTGACAATGTGCTGGTGTGCCGGAATGCTCTAACACATGAATCTGTCAGTCCAAGGAGTAGTGATATGATGGTGTTGAACAGATAACCATCATATAACACACTGTACTGACACTGTTGGACCAAAACTGATGTAAATTCACAGAAGTTCGATCGAAATTTTTTCCAGTATGATCCATGTCTGATCAAAGGATAATCTTCATTGTCCTGTAATAGACAGAGGTGTAGGCAAGCAATGAAATTACATTTTTCTATCATGACAATACTGCATTAAGAGAAGCAACAAGCAAAAAAAAAAACCATGAAGCAGGAAGCTACAATGGTCTAGGGTCAATTTTATTTAATTTAGGTTTATAAGTTTTTAACCAATACTTTATGTCTTTTTTATATACACAATCTTTGTTTTACAAGTAAACATTTAATACCACATAAATGATTCCCAAAGCTAAGTCCTCATGCACACTGGGCGTTTTAAAAACACCAGTAGCATTATCTGTATAAAGTCACATTAAAAACGCAAGTTTTTCCAAATTTTTTAGCGTTTTTTTCATTCGCATTTTTCCGCGTTTGCGTTTTTTACAAACACACAAAAAAAAAACATTTTGGCTCATAAAAATGCCCAAAACACCAGTTTGCCACATTTTACAGCTTTTTGCCATGTTTACCAGCATTGGAGCATATTTACAGCTAAAAAACTCCTCTAGAAACTCCACCAGTTCTGTATTATTTCTAGCCAAAAAATGTCCCTGCCAAAAAAACAGCCTTGTGTAGGTCTACAATCTTGTCCCTGACATCCTTGGACAGCTCTTTGGTCTTGCTATGGTGGAGAGTTTGGAATCTGATTGTTTGATTGCTCCTGTGGACAGGTGTCTTTATACAGGTAACAACATGAGATTAGCAACACTCCCTTTAAGAGACTGCTTCTAATCTCAGCTTGTTACCTGTATGAAAGACACCTGGTAGCCAGAAATCCTGCTGAATGATGGGGATCAAATACTTATTTCCCTCATGAACATGCAAATCAGTGCTTAATTTGTAAGACATGCATTTATTTTCAATTTTTTGTTGCTATTTGTCTCTCAGTGTTACAATACACCTACCATTCAATTTTTAGACTGATCATTTCTTTGTGAGTGGGCAAACATTTCCTTCATACTTATTTCCTTCACTGTACCTCATCCACAGGAGGTTTACTTCTTTGTGAGTGTATTTGAATGTTTGAACGGATTTTTAGATTGCATTATTTCCAAAATGATATGTCAGCATTCACTTCCTGTAGTCCACCTCTCAGAAGCCTTCACTTCCTTGTTGCATCACAGAATAGGGTGTGATAGGGCATGTTCACCACTCTGGACCACACCTCCCTCATTACAGTACTATCTGTCTCCCGTCAGCTAAGTAGTACAAGGATCTGTCTGATTTAATACCAACTGAATAGATTGTTCAGGTGTGTCCTATTCCATAGTTCTGGTAAAACTAAAGGAAATTGTACAAAGATTGTACAATCAGATTGCATAGTGTATAGCAATATTTATACAAAATACATAGGAGGGAGTGGATGGAAACACTCAGTTGGTAAGCTCCGTTCACATCTCCACATAGTGAAGACTCACATTCCCGCATGCATTTATTTTGGGTGTTTTGCAGCGTTTTCACTTGTCACACATAGGGCAGTCCATTCACTTGAATCACCCCAGAGAAGCTCCAGAACTTTTTTGGAGCGGGTCACTTTGCATTACTGTAGTTTTTGATGTGTTTGGCACACCTGGGGTGCCTTTAACAAGTAATGACAACACAAAATCAATGCACATTTGCAGAATGTTTCTGAAAGGCAGGCAAAGCGTGCATTTTGTGTGCAGTCTGCCATGCGTTCGGAAACATACAGATGTGAATGGAGCCTCCTTGTTGTGTGTAAATGCACCATTTCAGACCCCATTCACACCAAGAGTAGCGGGAGTGCATGTTTTTGAGCTCGTTCTTCCAGTGACAGACATAAGGCAGCCCATTGATTTCAATGGACTGCGCTACACGTGGCAAAGTAGCTCAAAAGACATTTTGGCATGGTGTGTTACACGTTTTGCTGCATTTCTCGCCTGTATGCTTGTTTCTGTGTTTGGTGTGCCAGTTAATGACAGTAATTTTAGGTGTATAAAGGTGGCCATACACTATACAATCTGATTGTACAATCACTCTACCTCTAGATTTACCAAAACTATATAATAGGAGAACACACTGTCAATCCAATCACTCTATATCCAATCAAGCTGGCCCTTGCACTACATCAGGGTGTCCTGTGGGCTGCATGCAGCCTGAGCCTATCTGAAGGGACGCTGGGGTAGCCAAGTACATGCACGTGGGCAGAGATCCCAGGGATGCTGTGAAAAAAAAAGTTGATGAGTGAAGGGTGTGTGCTAATGAGATCAGTGCAGGATGTGTGTGCTAATGAGATCAGTGCAGGATGTGTGTGCTAATGAGATCAGCTAGTAATCTGCTTCCAGGGGTACCACTGGCTACTCTGCTGACATTCCAGGAATTTAAAAAGCTTTCTAAGAAATTTACCAAGGGCTAAGGTAAGGCCTTGTTCTTCAGATCAAAGAGAGCTGAGGTACATTAATGGTATATTGGTGCATAGGGGAGCTGGATTTTATTAAAAAAAAAAAAAGTGAACTTAGCCTTTAAATCTCTGACTGAAAAAAATAACAATATTAAAAAAATGGAAACACATTTTTTGACCCTGAACATTTAAAAAAGCCAATATATATTCTTTTGAGGGAGAAGCAGAGCAAAAAAAACTTACATTTTAGCAAATCCTTTTTCAGAAACATAATTAATTTTTTTTAAAGTACTGTACAATAAACTAAAGTAAGTCATTTATCTGACTTTGTCAATACAGTGTGCCCAAATGCCAGGACAAGGTCATCCAGCGCGCAGGGTGAATATCCCAAACAGCACAGGGTGCCAAATATGCCAAACAGAACAGGGTGAATATTCCCACGCAAAGGTCAGGACTGAATAATTGACAAAGTGCAAGTCAGGAGCAAAAATAATGTACAGAGTATAGGAATCAGGAGTGGACAACATACACTGCAGGGGTAAGGAATATGTTATATACAATGTGCAAGAGTGTGCAAACTACAAAGTGTACAGATGAGAAATATATACATACACCCTACTGCAACAGGTATTTCACACCTACACACAAACACTTGTGTGTGTATATATTGTGTGTGTATGTGTATATATATATATATATATATATATATATATATATATAAAAACCACCAATGACTTTCTCTTTTATAATAAAGTTTTAAATACCAACTCAAGAAAAATAAAAAAATCCACCCTTGCAGTGGGGCCTCCTGTACTGCATGGATTAGGGGATCATGGTTTAGATCATTTATTAGATCATGGATACGCTAGGAATATGCTGGGACTTTTCAGGTTCTACATAGATGTATTCCACATACACACGCCTCCTAGATTGTAAGCTCGAAAGAGCAGGGCCCTCGATCCCCTCATGTTTTGCATTGTATTGGTATTGTTCTGTCACATGTTCTGTCCCCCTTTGTAATGTACAGCGCTGAGCGAACCATTGGTGCTTTATAAATACTGTATAATAATAATAATCTTATTAAAAGGAATGATTTTTGTGTGTGTATGTGGAATACATCCAGGGGCAGACTGATCATTTGGAAACTCGGGCACTGTCCGAGGGCCCAGGGTCTGTAGGGGGCCCCATGAGATGCCCTGGTACCTTTTTTCATAGGCTTTTTTGAGTTTGGCCAAGGACACAGGGGCCCCATGATCCCCTATTGCCCGGGGGCCCCATGAGTTGTCAGTCCGCCCCTGAATACATCTATGTGGAACCTGAAAAGTCCCAGCATATTCCTAATATAATAAATAATGTTATTTTCTCTTTCAGTAAACCTGCACTGCAAGATGTGGTACAGGTTTACAGCAAGAATTACACCGTCTGGAAGGCAGAAGATGTCGGGACTTACAGGAGGAGAAAATGTAGTCTGCAACCTGTCATCTTCATTCTTCCCAGGGTGAGCTCTGATGTCTGCTGGGCAGGAAGCAGTGACTGGGGCTGCAGTGTAGTGTTGCTTGCTCTGTCCACCTGTATTGGAGCTCTTAGGCTACGTTCACACCAGCGTTGTGTGCAGGCGGCAGAGAGGCGTTTGGGAAACGTTTTTACCTCTTCCCAATTGCCTCAGACAATTCTGCACATTGCAGCACATGGTGCTGTTCTAACGTGAGCGTTTGCGTTGCGTCACGGCAAAACGGACGCCTCTGGTCGAGTCAGGAGGCGTTGAAGCTTCCTAGCTTCCTATTCTAGTCTATGGTGCCACGCGGCGGCGGCGTTTGTGGCGAGGTTGCAATGCGGTTGCGGGGCGTTTGCGGAGCTGTAACGCCACTTAAACTTCATTATAGGCGTTTGTGGGGCATTTTTAACACTCAGCAAACTCCTAGCAACCGCCGCTATACCGTGCATGCGGCGTTTGCAGAGCGTTTGCCGAGTGTTAAAAAATGCTCCGCAAACGCCGGACCAACGCTTGCCAAACGCTATAGGGGCGTTTGGCAAGCGTTGGTAAAACACAGTCAAGTGTGAACGAGCCCTTGATGTTACAGCCCCGATCTAGCCGGCAAGCCTGAGAGGAACCTGTGCCCCAGAGAGGGTGTGTTTTCTCCTTTCCAGAAAGGGATGTGCTGCTGCCATAGAGAGGAAGCTGGCAATAGCTATGGGCGCATCCTCAGCTCTGCTTTTGTGCAGGCTTTGGCATCACAGAAGCATAGAGTGATGTAACCGTGCCAGAGTATTTCATACAACAGATTCTTAAGCATGCTGGCAACTTGGCGCCCCCTCCCACACGGCACCTGGGGCAGGTGCCCCTGCCGTCCCCCTTTGTCCCAGCCTTGACTGTGCCAGTGTGTGTGTGTATATACACAAGTATGAGCACTCAATATTACCAACAGATACTTCTTCATACAGTTAACACAAACGGATTTACCATATTTACTGGCCAAGTGATGGTTAAAATCCATGGGAATGCCATGAACTTCTTAAACCGCAAGCCTGTTTCCTGTGAAAACAAGACAAAGATCCAAAGGCAATGGGTGTCATGATTCCGAGCTTGAAAGAATATCGGTTCTTAAAGAACAACAATAAATGTGACTAAAAGTTAATTTACCATTTAAACTCATTGCATGACATCTAATAACAGTATAAAATACTCATATTATTTGTTTAACTGCAACAATGTATGGTTGTACCTGCAAACAGACACAGACAATTCCATTTGTGTTTTTCTGTCTTTTTTTACACACCTCACTATAAACAGACTAGTTATCCTTGTTTGGTACATAGTTTGTTTCAATAGTCTGAAATTGCTTTATGGAAATTGGAATAAATGTGATAATGTGTAACTACCATGTGATTTCAAAGGAAAATATTGAACTTTACAAGGTATAAAGTATTTCTTTTATTAATCAAGGCTACTGTTTAATGACCATGAAATATGTGACACCATATAAGCATACAGTGAAGGAAATAAGTATTTGATCCCCTGCTGATTTTGAATGTTTGCCCACTCACAAAGAAATGATCAGTCTAAAAATCGAATGGTAGGTGTATTGTAACACTGAGAGACAGAATAGCAACAAAAAATTAAAAAGTTAGAAAAAAATTAAAAAGTTAGAAATGCATGTCTAACAAATTATGCACTGATTTGCATGTTCATGAGGGAAATAAGTATTTGATCCCCTTCACAAAACATGACTTACTACTTGTTGGCAAATCCCTTGTTGGCAATCACAGAGGTCAGACGTTTCCTGTAGTTGGCCACCAGGTTTGCACACATCTCAGGAGGGATTTTGGCCCACTCTTGGAAGATCCTCTCCAAGTCATTAAGGTTTGGGGCTGACATTTAGCAAACTCGAACTTTCAGCTCCCTCTACAGATTTTCAATTGGATTAAGGTCTGGAGAATGGCTAGGCCACTCCAGGACCTTATTGTGTTTCTTCTTGAGCCACTCCTTTGTTGCCTTGGCCCTGTGTTTTGGGTCATTGTCATGCTGGAACACCCATCCATGACCCATTTTCAATGCCCTGGCTGAGGGAAGAAGGTTCTCGCATTGCCCTGTCCATCGTCCCTTTGATGCGGTGCAGTTGTCCTGTCCCCTTAGCATAAAAAACCCCCCAAAGCAGAATGTTTCCACCACCATGTTTGACAATTGGAATGGTGTTCTTGGGGGCCATAGGCAGCATTCCTCCTCCTCCAAACACGGTGAGTTGAGTTGATGCCAAAGAGCTCAATTTTGGTCTCATCTGACCACAATACTTTCAACCAGTCCTCCTCTGAATCATTCAGATGTTCAGTGGCAAACTTCAGACGGGTCTGGACATGTGCTTTCTTGAGCACCCCTGTGGGCATTGCAGGATTTCAATCCTTGTCGGCGTAGTGTTACCAATTATTTTCTTGGTGCCTGTGGTTCCAGCTGCCTGGAGATCATTGACAAGATCCTCACGTGTAGTTCTGGGATGATTCCTCACTGTTCTCATGATCATTGACACTCCATGAGGTGAGATCTTGCATGATGCACCAGACCTAGGGAGACTGACAGCTGTTTTGTGTTTCTTCCATTTGCGAATGATTGCACCATCTGTTGTCACCTTCTCACCAAGCTGCTTGGCGAGAGTTTGGTAGCCCAGTCCAGCCTTGTGTAGGTCTACAATCTTGTCCCTGGCATCCTTGGACAGCTCTGTGGTCTTTGCCATGGTGGAGAGTTTGGAATCTCATTGTTTGATTGCTCCTGTGGACAGGTGTCTTTTATACAGGCAACAAAATGAGGTTAGCAGCACTCCCTTTAGGAGACTGCTTCTAATCTCAGCTTGTTACCTGTATGAAAGACACCTGGTAGCCAGAAATCCTGCTGAATGATAGGGGATCAAATATTTATTTCCCTCATGAACATGCAAATCAGTGCATAATTTGTTAGATATGCATTTCTTTTGAATTTTGTGTTGCTATTCTGTGTCTCAGTGTTACAATACACCTACCATTCAATTTTTAGACTGATCATTTCTTTGTGAGTGGGCAAACATTCAAAATCAGCAGGGGATCAAATACTTATTTCCTTCACTGTATAACCTTTGCCAAATAACACTGGCCACTAGAAGCACACACTTTTCCTAAATGATGTAAAGAACTTTATATGGCTGGCCTGTTTTGCTAACATGGACAGCAGAGAAAATGAACACACCTGAAGCTTCAGGCATTTCACTAAGAGCAGAAGATAAAAGGGACAAAATTAGAATAAACTTGCCAGGAATAGAACAGCCTAGTCCATTGTTACACAGTCCGAGAACCACAAAAGTAGAATGAAAAATAGAAAGATCAATGATTGTTTTGCTTTATTGATTTTATAGTCTAAAATACTTTTAAAAACAAAGCTCTGTACACCCCAAATTGGTATTTGAGTTTATGGGAGATACTGTAGAATTACGAATCTGAAGGTGAGAACTGTAAACTAGAATTCCCATGCCTAACCAGCTTCTAAGGCAATTACTCTCTGTGCTTGATTTATTTAATTTGTGTTCAATCATTCAAAAATGATAGAAAAAGAGAACATACAGAGGACCCCTGCTGCATGGGGATAACTTAAAATCTACAGTGACAGAAACAAAGAAGATAAGGATAACCCTCACGATTCCTAAAGATGTATAGAAATCTAAGAATAAATCGTAAGTAATCGAGCGCTGGGTAAATGATAAATTAGCCGCTAGCATATACAGGTAAACCTCAAGAACCCATGAAAGAATACCGTATATACTCGAGTATAAGCCGACCCGAATATAAGCCGAGGTACCTAATTTTACCAAAAAAACTGGGAAAAACTATTGACTCGAGTATAAGCCGAGGGGGGAGGAATAGTGCCCCATCGTTGGTGTCAGTGGGGGGAGGAATAGTGCCCCATCGTTGGTGTCAGTGGGGGGAGGAATAGTGCCCCATCGTTGGTGTCAGTGGGGGGAGGAATAGTGCCCCATCATTGGTGTCAGTGGGGGGAGGAATAGTGCCCATCGTTGGTGTCAGTGGGGGGAAGGAATAGTGCCCCATCATTGGTGTCAGGGGGGGAGGAATAGTGCCCCATCATTGGTGTCAGTGGGGGGAGGAATAGTGCCCCATCGTTGGTGTCAGTGGGGGGGAGGAATAGTGCCCCATCGTTTGTGTTAGTGGGGGGGAGGAATAGTGCCCCATCGTTGGTGTTAGTGGGGGGGGAGGAATAGTGCCCCATCGTTGGTGTTAGTGGGGGGGAGGAATACTGCCCCATCGTTGGTGTCAGTGGGGGGAGGAATACTGCCCCATCGTTGGTGTCAGTGGGGGGAGGAATACTGCCCCATCGTTGGTGTCAGTGGGGGGAGGAATAGTGCCCCATCGTTGGTGTCAGTGGGGGGAGGAATAGTGCCCCATCGTTGGTGACCCCTGCTCCAGCCTGGGCTCGCTCGCTCCCTCCCTCTCCCATGGTACACACTTACCGGTCAGATGTCTTCCTTCTCCGGCCGCTCTCCTCCTCTTCACTCGCTCGATCTTCGCGGTGCCGCTCGGCTCCTCCTCTCCAAGCTCCACCTCCTCACCGGTGACTGGGCGCCTGTGTGCCTCTCCTGAGCTACAGTTCCGGCGGCCAATCACCGGTGAGGATTGATCCCGGGGGTGTGTCCAGATGACAGGGACAGCATGTCATCTGCAGACGTTGACTCGAGTATAAGCCGAGGGGGCCGTTTTTCAGCACAAAAAATGTGCTGCTGAAAAACTCGGCTTATACTCGAGTATATACGGTAGGTAGAAAAAGTTAGTGCAATGTTTGTCCATTTCCACTATCACAGGAGCCACAGATTTTCTTCATCACAAAGCATCTATTGACTGTTTTTTGCACTTGTCACTTTAATTATCCCATATATGGGGATTCAAGACCTATTCATTACTGTGATTTAAGGTTTATTTATGTAAGGATGTGTTTTTAGTTCCACTAGCGCTGCATATTTATATTCGATGTATAGAAATCTGGCCAAGTTACAAGGCTTCCCAAACTCCACCCAAGCAGTAAATCCCATTTAATGATTGCGGCAAACAACTGGATTCTCCTTTTTCATATTTCTATATGAGTAACGATGAATGAAATAATCACTGTGCAATGGTTTTGCTCACAGCAGCCCCGATCCTCCTCTACTTTGGTTCCCTGTCAGTAGAAACACCCAAGCAGGCTTGCTCCCAAGCCACTGTTCTGCATGTCCATTCATGCACAGGGCTCTGCCCCACCCCCTCTCTCTCCTCATTGTCTCAGCCAATGAGGAAGGAGAGTCCCTGGAGAGCGGAGACTTTCGTGAACATCTCTGGATCATGATGGGCTCAGATAAGTATTAGGGGGGCGGGGGAGGGCTACTACACACAGAAGGTTTTTTACCTTCATGCATAGAATGCATGAAGGTAAAAAACCTTGAGACTTTAAAACCACTTTAAATACAGTATATCATAAAGTACTGTATGTTAACACATTGGTTTAATTTATATTAAAAAGTCTATCATACAAGCATTTAAAGTACAATACTACCTCATCAAACTCTTCAGTGAGTTTCTGCATAATTTCTCTGTTATTTGGATTTTGGAACAGTTCTGCTGTGACCACTCCTAGGGAGACATAAAAAGGATTAAATATTAATAATGATTAAATGTATTCTTTACCTAATCTATTAAAAGGTGTTGTACAAAGACAAAAACTGGATAAGCTAAAGTACCTTGGCATCCTGAACACTGGATATAGAAGTTAATAAGGTCAAGTAAAGCTGCATCCCTATCCTCTTGATAGGCTTCAATCCAGTCATCTACAACAGACTGCAGGGAAACAAAGCATTCGCATTACCATGTCTAGCTTTAAAAAGATATGCAGAGTGTAATAAGTGTGTTTCTGCTACAGCACCACAGAATGATAGTAAATGAGTTCCTGACCTTACTAAACAGGTCATTAAACCTAATCTTGGCTAATATTAAATTGCTCTGAATGTCAATTAAAAAAATACATATAAAAATATTTCAAAGAAAGCTTGCATATTTTCCTAAACAAAATAAATATTTTTCAAAATTACTATTGCATTAGGAAGCATTACAGGTGAAAGGACAAACTTTGAAGGGGTTCAGGCAATTGGTCATCTCTGCTCTCTCCAAAATGGAAAAAGAATTTCCACAAAATAATCAGTTATGTTCCAAGTATAAATTGGAAATTGTTATCTTGTCTATTGTCTCTGCTGACCAAACCAGGGTGCTTCCATTGCTAACTTCCTTCTCAAAGTTCTCCTTCTATTTTAGAAAAATCCTTTTTACTGAGATCCCCCACCCAACATTATCAAGTTAATGATTGAAGATACTATTTAAGGTGGTTTTGTGTATTAAAAATATATCATTACAATTTTAGACAATACATTCCAAGGAAAACATGCGTTGTCCCATGTTAAAATTGTCATAATAAATTCTTGGACTTTATCTAAGCATTATCAATTATCCAGGATACTTTGGATTATTCTGAGATGGTTTTGGGGCCCTTACCATCTATAGAGTGCTAAAGGTCTCAGAGACAGAAATATTCTTGTCATGCACTGGTTGTGTGACACAACAAAGAACAAAGAGGTGTAATACAGATCATAGTCAGCGGAAAGAACACAACATAAATCACATAGACACTACAAGGTATGAAATTGATTGATTCACTGAACCACTATAAGCGGACTAAATTACTACAAGACCATTAAAACCCTGATAACAAAAATTAAATTATGTTTTCATTTCCTTTTTTTCCCCCTTCCTCTTCCCTGTTAATTGCAAATAAGGAAATAAAGTCATGATCCAGGTGTTGTGATGCCACCCAATTTTTTCCAATTGACAAAAGAGTACTCAACTGGGGAAGGTTCCCCATTGTAACAGAGTAGCCAGTAGCTAATAGAATAAAGGGGAAGAAGAGGTCTGCAAGGAGAACACGGCCTGCCGCTCTGGGGAGGAGGGGGGGGGGAACAAGCCATCAATGTACAGTCGTCGTGGGAAATTAAAAGAGGAGAGGGAAAAAAAGGGGAAAGGGTGCAAGTTGTGCACAGTGAGAATCCTAAGGGAAGGGGAGTAACATAGGGAGAGGAAGATCATAACTCAGTTCCAACTACAGGCAGGTGGAAATGAGGTTCACGATACCGTCTTACTGGGTCCCCCGCTGACTATATTTTTAATATCAAGCAGATGTACAGATTTATGAATTTATGATGACATTCATCCAATCATATTGAACCTGCTAACTGCATTCTTCTACTGTCCTTTTTTACCTTCCTTATTTCTTACTACTCTGAATCCTCTCTGAACTCTGAATCTGTGCTTGGAGATTTTACAGAAGTATTCTGGAAGTCATGCTGATTCTATGGCATCCATACTTTGAGCCACTGTCCTGGAAAAAGTATTTAAGTAAAGTTAAAATCTCCATTCTTGTTCCAGGTAAGCTGGGTTGACTGCGCTGTAGCTCTGCTACCTTACATTATCCAATTATGTGCAAGCAACAATGCTGTTTTTTATTTTTCTTGCAAGTGATTTGGTATTCTTTGCAAAGTGCAATATCACCACACACTAAATTCTGGGGAAAATTCCCTTGCAAAGTGAATCTCCTATTTGCCTTTAGTAAATCAACCTCAGTGACTCAGAAAGAACTGAAGCTAATAAAGCAGAATGACAGCAAAGCAATTAGCATTTGCATAGGGATATGTGAGCATTGACAGCCTGTATAATTTCTAGAGCGACATGGTTCCTTTTAAGAGTGGGACCTGCAATCTCTCACTGTCTTTTACTGGGATAAAATTAAATTTTTACCCAGATCAAGTGATTGCCCATGTCTACTGATTTTTCACAATGAACCCAGCTGGGGGGATGTGGGGGGGGCTTCAATCAGGGATATCTTTCCTAAGCCAATATTGTTCACCCCACCCATCTACCTCCCCCCAATAAACATTGCACCATCTATTCCACTGCCCTCTGCATTCCATAAACCAGGCACATTCATCCAAGCTGAAAGTTCCTATTCGTGGACCCACCAGCAGATCCAATTGCCTTCTGATATATATATATATATATATATATATATATATATATATATATATATATATATATATATATACATACATACATACATACATACATACATACATACATACATACATACATACATACATACATACATACATACATACATACACACACACACACATACATACATATATGGACACCCTTACAAAGACAGTGCATATTAGTTCACCTTTCAGTTAGCTGAGGCAAAGTTACTAACAGCTCGTTTTGTGACTTCTCACATTGAAGCGTATTTATAAAGCGGTGAATGTAATTTTCACCAGCATTCAGTGGTGGGAAATCAATTACTGTCAATATAAACTTATTTACCAGGAAGATTTACCTGTGGTGAATATTTGTTGAATGTCAGATTCACTACATTATAAACATGCCCTGTAATGTGTACAAATAGTACCACATAATTTAAAATGTGCTTCTGACACAGAGTATGATTTATGCCTATTATTAACATTATAAAAATGCTGAGGTAAAAAAAATATATATATTAAAACATACAAATCCCCTAGTAAACAAATAACAGACTTCAAACGGATAGGTGCCTCTTTTCCCATGGACCATCTCTAAAAAGCCATCCACTATCTGCCATTGGATAAGGAATGATATCATTGGAACATTTAAGAATGAAATGTAGCTCAAAAACATAATGAAACATATTATTGGTAATAACAATAGAACCTACCTGTATTGCTCTTTTGCCAATGCTGACAACTTCAAACAATGTCACGGCTTCAGGTATACCTCCATCAGATATGTGACTATCCCTGCTTCGCCTGGAAGAATTTCTTCTTGAAAGGTTTTCAGACTGTTTCCGACTTTTCTTGCTCTTTTGTAAAGATATGTTATTTTTAAGTTATGATCTTTGTTTAGCAAAAAAACACAATAAAGCCTTAGTGGGGTGACAATAAGGTATTTTAAAAAGCAAAGTTAAAACAATCACTAAACTACTAATGGTGTCCAGAAAAGGTTGCAATATTGCTAAAATCAGAAATTTGTACCTTAAACTAAATGATATCCAATGCAATATGGCAAGAATCAAGTGAGGACCTTGCGGGGTCCCTAAAATTGTAACTCCTGAAGCATGTACTCAATAACATCATCTCTTCCCGTGTTAAAAATTCTATTCAAACTTTCAATGCATGTTTCTCTGAATTCTGTGATTGGTGGCTTAGTACTTATTAGCTTTAACAAGATGTTTTCTGTATGTGAGAGACAGTAAGAAGCCTGTAATGTGTGTGTTGATGAATTTCACTCCTGAATCACAAAAGCAGGGATTCTCAGATCACCAGATTACTAACATAAGAGACTGATATGGATTGGTACATCAAAGGAGAACTATGGTCAAAGCTCTTTTGGCCATACTTCTGTGGGTCACAGGACTGCACTTAGTTCCGAACTCCTGTGGCCCAGATTCACCCAACAGCTGGCTAAAGCCCGCTGTCAGTTGACATCACAGAGCCAGTTCAGACTCTGCAAGGATCTAGATAATAATGTAGGAATCCACCCAGATTCCTGACCGGTAGCTTTCTCAGCCTATCAGCATAGTGCTGAGAGCGTGAGCTAGTCACTTCCGCCCCCTCCAAAGTCTGGATCTCCACTGAGCACTGGAGGCGCAGAGCAGAGAGTAGTGACAGACAGTCACTACACCGTGCTCAGAGCAGACCCAAGAACTGAGAGCAATCAGCCATCTTTGTTCACTCGGTTCTAGGTGTAGAGGCAGCGAGGGACAGCTGCAGCATCGGATCAATGCTGCAGTCATCTAGGTAATCGTGCATTTTTTTTTTTTGTAAACCTGCACTTCTCTTTTAAGACCTATATGAAAAAACTAAAAGACCAAGGAGTTAATTTACTAAAACTGTAAAGTGCAAAATATGGTGCAGCTGTGCATGGTAGCCAATCAGCTTCTAACTTCAGCTTGTTCAATTAAGCTTTGACAATAAAACTAGAAGCTGATTGGTTTCTATGCTGCACCAGATTTTTCACTCTCAAGCTCTAGTAAATCAACCCCTAAGTATGTAGGTTGTGCCCACAAAACATTCACAAATGCATATTGTTTACATAATTTTTCTAGATGAAAATGACTGAGAAGCTATTACTTTTTTATAAAAATTTGTAATGGAAATAATGGCAGAACAGGGCAGAATAAGTACTACAGACGGCTGTTTCTCAATTGTTAAAGTGCATCTGACTATGCTTATGGACATGCGGTGCCCTCAAGTAAAGGTAGCAAGGTCACTCTTGGGTGGTATCAAAGCGACAGATGAGCTGTAATAACCTACCGGAGTGGATGACAGTTCCAGCAGTCCGTTCTCTTTAGTTGTGCTAGGAAGGGAATTTGTATGTGTATTCTCTCTGTAATTATATATAAAAGGTTCACAATTCACTTAAAATATTATACATGCAGAGATTGACTTTTTAAAATCTATAAGTAGTCTTCCAAAAATATCTATGCCTTTGTATTAAGCACCAAAAGGATTCTTCAGCAAATTATTCCCTGGTGAAGTTTGACATTAAACTGGTCTGAAATGGAACACTGAAATTAGAAAACTGGCAATCTGTTTCTGGTGACCTAGAGGATTTATGATTTTACAAATGACTTGCTATACTTTGTCTAGATAACCGTTTTCTTTACAACTGTGATATTTCTATTTATGCACTGTAGATGCAGTTGATAAATCTTCCATTACTGAAGAATTTAGGCACCAGCTTTCAAAAGGCTGATAAACAAAGATAAACTGTTACAGGAACAAAATTGTTAAACAATTCCCAGATATAAAAACCTGATGATTTAATTCCAAGGTCATTCTCATTTCTTTATACTAAAACACAAAGATTATACATGTCTGTTGACTATTGGATGAATTGGCAGTGACCCTTCGCACAGAAACAGTGCATTCCAGGATTAGTATTGACAGCATATGTATCTACAGTCTGAAAGACTGACACTTCCAACAGCAAGGTATATACCTACATTAGAAGGACTAATTTACTAAAGTGCAAAGTAAGATGAGATACCCTCAGTCTGATAGCCAACAGCTTTCAACCTACTTTCTCTCTGAGCCCAGGTTGTCCTGGACCCACACTTAGACTGTTACTGGACAGTGAAAGGAGAAGCAGCACAATGTAGAGATTAGCTCTCTATCATTCTGCTTTACCCACCTATCTGCACATGAACTCATTGGCACCTCTCATACTCCAGCCCCGCTGTACAGGGACTGCAAGACGCTGACACCAGGTGAAGTCCAGGTACTTGCTTTGCTTCTATTTATAAAATGTATTTAATGATATATTATGGGTTCAGATCTTGAATTACTGTGTGGCCTTTTTATCTGCATAGAGCTCAGATTTACATTTTTCTAACATATACAAAGCTTCTGTGATAACATTTTAGCCTGCCTCCTCCAACCCCTGAACCTTCCCATTGGCCATTGAGGATACCTTCACATTTGAAACTTTTACCAATGAGACCCCCAACTGCACAATTCTGGACAAATGCTATTATTTTTGCAGATGTCCCAGGCATACAGTATGTGCTTGCCACTAGGAGTTCCCTGCATTGCTATTCAGGATGGATGTCATTTAAATGGTGAACACCTTGCAGCTGTATAATTTCAGTAACATGCCCTGGTACTTGTATACTTGTTTGTTCATAGTTCTCCTTTTCTAAATTTCAAGGTGACATTTTGTTGCACTAACTGTGCAGACGTCGCATCTGGTGTGCAGTGTGGAGCAGCAGGAAGATGAGCGGGAACTGAACTAGAGTGCAGAGGGCACACGTGGTATGCAACATTGAGACACTATAGCAGAAGGGACCGAAGAGAGAGGACTGAGTGGCAGAGGATCAGCAGAACTGGAGGACAAGAGTAGGAGAAACTAACAATATCGTGTGGTGTGCCGTGTGGGAGCAATATTGCTGGAGGTGGGTGGGGACCAGAGAGAGAGGAGGATCAAACCAGAGGATTAGCAGAGCTGGGGGTAATTACTGAATGGGAGATCAGCAGAGCAGGGGGTTACTACTCAGTGGGGATTAGTGGAGCTGGGGGTTACTACTAAGCGGGGGATCAGTAGAGCTTGGGGTTACTACTGAACGGGGGATCAGCAAAGCTGGGGTTATTACTCAGCAGGGCATCAGTAGAGCTGGAAATACTACTGAGCAGGGGATCTGCTGAATGAGGATACTAATAAGCTGGGGATCTGCTGAATGAGGGTACCAATGAGCTGGGGATCTGCTGAGTGGGGGTACTACTGAGCTGGGTTCTACTGAGCCCCTTTAAAACAAATAAACAACACACAGAGGACATTTACCAAGCTTCATTAAAGCTTCATAAAAGCCCACTGAAGCATCACAAAAGCATCAAAAACACATCCAAAAAGCATTCTGAAGCAATAGGAGCTTTAAGTCAAAGCAAGTGTAAATGAACCCTAAAACAACATGTCAAGTTTATTTCAAGGCTTTCTGTAATTATTGTTAATAAAAATGACCTCTATAGTTCAACCTGCAGCCAACAATTTTTTTTAAAACTGACAAAAAATGCTCAAGCATGAGTTCCTTGTATGGGGGAATTCTGTCCATTGTTTGTGAACAGAACTCCCCTAGAATGTCACTCCCTGTTCAGATGAATGGCTCACAAAATAACAGAACTACCTGTGTAGCTAAAGATTACCCACAGGACTTGGCAACAGAATGAAATACATATGGGAGTATATATACACAAATATTAGCAGGTAGAATGTTTGCTAAATTAATCTTGAATGTAACTTTAATTTCAGACATCTTTATTTGCATGCTTACTCTAGGTTATGGACAAGGGGTAAGTACAGAGGAAATAGTGTATACATGGCAGCCAGCAAGCTAGCATTTGAAGAATAAGTATCAATAGCAGCCTCTGTGTCTCTCTCAGGAAAAGTATCCTTTAATTAATGATTCCACTCTGCTGCCCTAACTACAAAAGCAATCTGCCCCTATAGTTGCTGCTCCTACACACCACAACCATTTTTCTCAGTAGAACTGTATACTGATATTCACCCCCTCTGGATCTATACTCCTATAGTCAAGCTGCTAGCAGAGTAGGCTGACAGTTTGCCCTACTCTTCTAGTCATTGGTTTAGTTTTACTGATGCAGAGTGGGCTAAATGTCCTTCAGCTTTGCCATGCCCTTTATAGCTTTCATGTCAGATCCTGTTAACAGCATACAAAGGCTAGCCAGTTGATTGGGGTGGGAAAATGGCAGCATAGAGCAGATAATCTAAGGGGGCAGGATGTATTAATCACACCCTGGTGCCAAAGAAACTTTTAAAGTACCTATTTATCAAGGACAGACCCCCTAGCCAGAATGCTAATAACACATGGAGCTTTCACAAAACGTCTGTGATGAAAGATCCATGGAGATCCATCATTTAAAAGCAAAGTTCACCTTTTTCACTAAAATACATTATGCTGTCTAGGGACCCATGCTGTGCAGTTTTCATATAGTGTTCTTAGTTTTAATGCCTTATCAGTAGGTGAAGAGCAAGACCCCCAAAGTCTGCCAAAGAAAATTCCCAGCAGAGTGATCAGCCATATCCTGTTCAAGTTCAGGGATGCGCCAAGCGGTAGATGCTCACTCTCAGCATCACATTAGTGAGCCTTCAAAGTAAGGATATGATTTGAAAACTGTACTGCATTTTTAACACACTGGGGCCTCTAGACTGCATAGTGTATTTTACTGAAAGAGGTGAACTTAGCCTTTAATGGGCAATTGCACAAACTCTAGAATATCAAGTGACATACACGGACATAAATGGACTTTGCATGTTATCCTTCATGCAACTTCCGTAGATGTCTATATAGCAGTATTGTTAATGACAGTTACTATTACATTTGGATGTAAATACCCTCAAATTAAAGCTGACAGTCTGTAGTTAAAGCACATCTTGTTCCTTTCATTTCAAATCCATTGTGGTGGTGTATAGAGCCAAAATGTTAGAATTGTGTCGATGTCCCAATATTTATGGACCTGACTGTATGTGCTTGCCACTAGGAGTTCCCTGCATTGCTATTCAGGATGGATGTCATTAAAATGGTGAACACCTTGCAGCTGTATAATTTCAGTAACATGCCCTGGTACTTGTATACTTGTTTGTTCATAGTTCTTTTATAAATTTCAAGGTGACATTCTGTTGCACTAACTGTGCAGACATCGCATCTGGTGTGCAGTGTGGAGCAGCAGGAAGATGAGCGGGAACTGAACTAGAGTGCAGACGGCACACGTGGTGTGCAACATTGAGACACTATAGCAGAAGGGACCGAAGAGAGAGGAAAATACTAAAATACATCATGCTGTCTAGGGACCCATGCTGTGCAGTTTTCATATAGTGTCCTTAGTTTTAATGCCTTATCAGTAGGTGAAGAGCAAGACCCCCAAAGTCTGCCAAAGAAAATTCCCAGCAGAGTGATCAGCCATATCCTGTTCAAGTTCAGGGATGCGCCAAGCGGTAGATGCTCACTCTCAGCATCACATTAGTGAGCCTTCAAAGTAAGGATACGATTTGAAAACTGTACTGCATTTTTAACACACTGGGGCCTCTGGACTGCATAGTGTATTTTAGTGAAACTTCATGCAACTTCCGTAGATGTCTATATAGCACTATTGTTAATGACAGTTACTATTACAAAATAAGTGCTAACATTTTCACATCTTACTTTTGACAAAGGTCTGAGGCTGGATTAGTCACAGTTATCATCTTCTGTATGGTGCCATCAGTGTATAAAATAAATCTTCTTTACTCTTCACATGCAGTCTCCTGAAGACATGAATATTACAAATAAATTATGTCAATACACACATTATTACCTAATTACCGTAAGTACACTGAGAGGTAAACATTAATATACACTATAAAGTATACATATAGATCAAAGGCTGCACAATACCAGTCTAATTTCATTTAAAAGAAAAACAATATAAATGGAGAGAATCCCCAAGTAGACCAACCACTATGAATAGTATTATGTACAATATATATATATATATATATATATATATATATATATGCTGTGCAGTGCTTGCTTATGTTTATGATGCTAAGGTTGACCAGAGAGTCAAAGGGGCTTAAACTATCCCCTGGTAAGGGTGTCATGTGAGGTACCTGCACCCCCTGCATACTCTCCTAGCATGAATCCATTAAATTATAGGTCCAGCAACAATTTGTGTATTTATTTATACTTATAGAAGAACTCTCGCTTAATTTTTTTGCAGGGGACAAAGCACATGTAGTACTTTTCCCATAGTCAGACAGGGTCCCCCATCCTTTTGTGTGCCCCAGGCCCCATCCTCGTGCCTAGTGACCCCATAGCAAGCAGCTTTCTATAGGGGCACCCAAGCAGGCTCAGTCCCAAACCGCTGCTCTGCGTGTCCATTCACACACGGATGGTGGCTCACTGATTGACAGTAGCAAGGGTCAATGGCTATCACTGCTGTCAGCCATCAGCCAAAGAGGATTGGGGTGAGGCTCAGGTAAGTTTTAGGGAAGCTGCTGCACACAAGATTTTTTACCTTCATTCGTAAAATGCATGAAGGTAAGAAACCTTAAGCCTTTACGACCACTTTAATGTATATCTCTAGCCAAAACTTTTTGATTTGTTTTGAATCAAGTAGAAAGGGGTAAGAATCCTTATCTTTTTTTAGTCTATGTCTGTGCCATTAGAGTTTTCCATTAATTTCCAGTCCAAAAGACACCAATGAGTGAGAGGAAATCTTCCCAAATTTGGAGTAATCCCCTCTTAGACACCAGAACAGGTCTTCCTATTGCAAGATTTCCCCTCACTTCATGTTATGGTAACAACTGTAAAAGCTTGAACTTCCAAACACTTTCCAACAATATTCACCAGGACAAATAGAGAGGGTGCATCTTTTCATAGAAGAGCACAGACAGCAGTGAAAAACCGGAAGAAGCAAAATCAGCATATCCAAAATCCAGCAAATAAAACTTTACTTTTTTTTCTGCTTCCAAATAAAATCAATACAGCAGCAAATATAAAATGTGCCACATCGATTTTAGTGTTGAATAGCATGTACTACACCCATGGTTCTTCCCACTGGCCCCTAAGCCCTAAGTCGTCACATTTACTGTTATGACAGGCATCTGACATACTGGAAAGTGTGTGCTGAAGATTCTGCTGGAGGTCAAACAACCTTTCCCCCTCTTTCACTAAAAATCACGTTCCAGGAGGCAGACCAAGAATTTTAGGCAGAGTTCCAGGAAGTAAAAAGTCTCTATGGGACGCTTCCAGAATGTACCCACCATACAAATGTTGGTGACAGAGTCTCTATGGGATGCTTCCAGGATGTAACCACCATAAAAAGATGGTGACAGGGTCTCTATGGGACACTTGCAGAACATGCACACCATAAAAAGTAGGTGATAGGGTTTGTATGGGACGCTTCAAGAGCATACACCCCACAAAGAGCCAGTGATAGGATCTCTATAAGAAGCTTCCAGAACATGCACACCATAAAAGTAGTTGATAGGGTCTGTAAGGGACGCTTCAAGAGCATACACCCCACAAAGAGCCATTGATAGGGTCTCTATAAGAAGCTTCCAGAACATGCACACCATAAAAAGTTGGCGACAGGATCTCTATGGGACACTTCCAGAACATGCACACCGTAAAAAGTAGGCGATAGGGTCTCTATGGGAGGCATCAAGAGCATGCACACCTTGAAAGTCAGTGATGGGTTCTCTATGGGATGCTTCAAGAACATGCACCCCATAAAAAGTGGGTGATAGGGTCTCTATTGGACACTTCCAGAACATGCACCCCATAAAAAGTAGGGGAGAGGGTTCTCTTTGAGATGGTTCAAGAACATGCACACCATAAAAAATAGGCAATAGGGTCCCTATGGGAAGCTTCCAGAACATGCACCCTATAAAAAGCTGATGACAGGGTCTCTTCAGGACTCTTCCAGAACACGCACAACATAAGAAGTTGGTTGCGGGGTCTCTTTAGGCCCCCCCAGAATTAACCCACCATAAACAGGATCTCTATAGGACACTTCCGGAATGTAGCCACCATAAACAGGATCTCTATAGGACACTTCCGGAATGTGGCCACCATAAACAGGGTCCCTATAGAACGCTTCCGGAATGTGGCCACCATAAACAGGGTCCCTATAGGACACTTCCGGAATGTGGCCACCATAAACAGGGTCCCTATAGGACCTTCCGGAATGTGGCCACCATAAACAGGGTCTCCATAGGACACTTCCGGAATGTGGCCACCATAAACAGGGTCCCGATAGGACACTTCCGGAATGTGGCCACCATAAACAGGGTACCTATAGGACACTTCCGGAATGAGGCCACCATAAACAGGGTCCCTATAGGACACTTCCGGAATGTGGCCACTATAAACAGGGTCCCTATAGGACACTTCCGGAATGTGGCCACCATAAACAGGGTCTCCATAGGACACTTCCGGAATGTGGCCACTATAAATAGGGTCCCGATAGGACACTTCCGGAATGTGGCCACCATAAACAGGGTCTCCATAGGACACTTCCGGAATGTAGCCACTATAAACAGGGTCCCGATAGGACACTTCCGGAATGTGGCCACCATAAACAGGGTCCCTATAGGACACTTCCGGAATGTGGCCACCATAAACAGGGTCCCTATAGGACACTTCCGGAATGTGGCCACCATAAACAGGGTCCCTATAGGACACTTCTGGAATGAGGCCACCATAAACAGGGTCCCTATAGGACACTTCTGGAATGTGGCCACCATAAACAGGGTCTCCATAGGACACTTCCGGAATGTGGCCACCATAAACAGGGTCCCGATAGGACACTTCCAGAATGAGGCCACCATAAACAGGGTCCCTATAGGACACTTCCGGAATGTGGCCACCATAAACAGGGTCCCTATAGGACACTTCTGGAATGAGGCCACCATAAACAGGGTCCCGATAGGACACTTCCACAATGTGGCCACCATAAACAGGGTCCCTATAGGACACTTCTGGAATGAGGCCACCATAAACAGGGTCCCTATAGGACACTTCTGGAATGTGGCCACCATAAACAGGGTCTCCATAGGACACTTCCGGAATGTGGCCACCATAAACAGGGTCCCGATAGGACACTTCCAGAATGAGGCCACCATAAACAGGGTCCCTATAGGACACTTCCGGAATGTGGCCACCATAAACAGGGTCCCTATAGGACACTTCTGGAATGAGGCCACCATAAACAGGGTCCCTATAGAACACTTCCACAATGTGGCCACCATAAACAGGGCCTCCATAGGACACTTCCAGAATGTGGCCACCATAAACAGGGTCCCTATAGGACACTTCCACAATGTGGCCACCATAAACAGGGCCTCCATAGGACACTTCCAGAATGTGGCCACCATAAACAGGGTCCCTATAGGACACTTCCAGAATGTGGCCACCATAAACAGGGTCCCTATAGGACACTTCCACAATGTGGCCACCATAAACAGGGCCTCCATAGGACACTTCCACAATGTGGCCACCATAAACAGGGTTCCTATAGAACACTTCCAGAATGTGGCCACCATAAAAGCTAGGTGACAGGGTCTCTTTAGGACTCCTCTCTAACAAGCAGGGACACAATAGAAGTAACCATTGCTGTGTGGATTCCAGCCATGGCTGAGACTGTCCCGTATACACGGATAATCCCATGTCCGGGCAGGATTCGTCCCACCTCTGCAGCCACATGTGAATAATGACAGGCTGTACATGACTGCAGTTGTCACAAGTCACCCATTAATGAAGAGGCACTACAGCATGCATTGGAGAACATGGCGACCAGTGGTGTCACCTCAGCTACCTGCAAGGGTTAAGTCATGACATCACCCCGTCAGAAAGCGGCGTTCTGGCTGCGTGGGCCTGCGTAGACCCCCCCCCCCCCCCCCCCCAGTATTAGTAGATGGAGGCTCGCGCTCGGTATGTACTATATAGTGCGCTGAGTGCGCTCATTACCTGCGCTGTGGATGTGACAGGCCGGCTGTGGACACACCTCCCCGCACTGCTCTCCTCTGACCTGTATTGTCCTGGCTCTGCACTGCCCGCCCATCATTCTTCCTGCTTCCTCCTTCCTCCTGGACCAGCAGTGTACAGGCAGCCAATCACGGCACAGCTCTCTGAACTGTATAGGAGCGCTGTGCTGTATGCGGACGCAGATCCTTCCCTTATCCTGCTGCCATGGTACTGATCAGACGGATCTCCGAGGGAAGACAGTGTACATTCTATGGGAACTGCTGGGAGATTAGTGATATCCCTGCTGTGTGCTCAGCCCTGCTATCGTGACAGCTAGACTTGTAACAGTCTGATCGAGACATTCTTCATAGAATCTAACAATTATCAAAAAAGACACATGATCAAACGATACAGGCAAAAGCCATCAATTTCTTCAAAATGATTCTGATTGGTCTGGACAGATATTCTGATCATAGGAAAGTAGATAGAAACATAGAAAAGTGACATCAGAGAAAGACCAAGTGTCTGCCTTTTTTTAGGTATTTTTTTTGTTTGTTTTTGGGGGGTTTTTTTTTTTGGGGGGGGGGTTGTTAACTTTTTTTGCTTGAGTATAGATTTGATAGGTATAGATAGGTTTGTACCAAGCATGTTTGATGCTATTTACTGTTGACTGGCTCACTAACTCTGCTGGAAGTTTCTAGCAAGCATCAACTACTCTTTCAGTAAAATAATACTT